AAGCCCCCTCCCCATTTTCAAATACTATTTTCGCAAATTATTGGGTCCGAAAAATAATTTTTTATCAGCACTTATTGCACTATAAAAATATTTTACTTCACATTTTAACAGAGTAAATCAAGTAAGCTTATTAATGAATAATTTATATTAGTAGTAAGGAGGTAATAGGGTAATATGTASTAATCAGAGTATATTAGACTAAATAAAATTGAAATAAAAAACATTCATTTATTTGTTAATATATTGTAGTGTATACCTGCTATCGTCGATTATAATTAAAACTGATATACGAGGTATCTGAAGTTATAGTCTCTTAAAAATAGCTCAAATTTAATGTAGAAATTGTTACCTATCCTATGATATTATACGAGCATATTGTTAAGTTTTATCAAATTAATAGTTGATCATTAATAATAAATAATTAAAATTTTTTTTCACCTACCTAGATTGATTTATCTTCTTCACATTAAAGTAATAATTAAATTATTTTACTATTTGCCTATACAAAGAATATTATCATTTATTTTCAATATTTTTTGTGCCAAAATATTAGGAACCTTGTATTAAATTTTGAAGCTTTTTACCTAACAAACAAAATTTTATTGTAATTTATAAAAAAAGATTGACAATTTCAAATGTCTATAAATAACTTATAAATATTTGAGATATTTTGAATATTTACCTAGTACCTACAAAGTTTTCCTGTTTTTTTTTTTTCCAGTRCTGAAAAGAAGCAATAGTCATAAGTCATGCTCATAAACCATCACTATTAATAAATAATATTGATATAATTGACTCAAATACTAGATATCATTGTAATAGAAGATTTTTCATTAAAAAAAAAAATACCTACTAATGTATTTTTTTTTCTTGTTTTTTCATTGTTAAATGTAAGTTTCACTAATATAGTAACATTACATTACATACATTTCTTTTTATAAGAACTCGAGATAAATGAATAATATTGTAATAACATGTTACAATGTGACATAACTGACATTCATACTTAATATTTTAATTAATTATCATCCAATATAAATAACATAAGAAAATAATGTTATAAGTTATAAAAACAAAATAATACATACTATCATAAGATAAAAAATATTTAAAACTGATTATTAACTTTTCTAGTTGAATAAGACTAGATCATTCTTTGGAATAGTTTTGTAAATAGTAAATTTAAATGTTTATAATAAAGATTAAAATTATTAATAAATAACTATAATAATATGTATTTTTAATTATAGGGTAATTATTTAATTAAAAACAAGTGGTATAAAACCAATTTATAATAAAATATAAAGTATAGTCTTAAAAGTTTAAATACATAATATTCATACAATTTTATAAATTAATATAAAAATAATTTATTATTATTATCATATTGAGTTATCAATCAAGACTAGTAGGTACATAATTATTAACAACAAATCATAATAATGTAACCCAAGAAATAAACAGAATTAAATTTTTAATTCTGTTTTAGTAGAAGTTTCACATAAAGTTAATAGAATTATAATTAGAGCAGAAAAAACATATGTTGTACACGTATACATTACAATATACAAAAGTTTCGGAGAAAACACTGACCATATAAATAAATGATTTCGAAAAAATAAAATAACAAGGTTGTACACACATGATTGAGTGACGTTAAGCATACAAAGGTTTTGAAGTCCTGAAAATCTGGTTTGAAAAAATCGAATTAGTTTAAAACTTGAACATATAAATATAATACAAATATTATGTATATTTTACTTTTGATTGAGAACAAGGAATAAGAAAACCAGCAATGGAAAACCATATGTATGAGTAAAAATATGTATTCCTGCAACAACAGGATCATAACTGGTTTGACCAATATACCCAGGCACAATGTCTAATGTACCAATACTGTTTGAATTACCCTGTAAATTATCAAATATATTCATTGTTCGATTGTTCCTGAGTAATGTTTTAGTGCTTACACTAGTAATACTAGTCATATTTTATTATTTTATATATAAACATAATATTTATAACATATTGTTTAAACATCTAAACAATAGGCCTTTACATAGGCATAACTTTATGGAGGCAAATTGAGGCAACTGCCCCAACAATTGGGGGTGGGGGAATACTCCCACGAACTAAACTATACTATTAGTTAATTGCAGGCTGTTCTGAGGCAGTGAGGTGCATATCACACTCGTACCTAATACTATATTTAATACAGCTAAATATAATAATATATTAAAATTCTAGGTTTGATTTTTGATASCAAACTTACTTGGAAACCTCATATAAGCAAGACCAAAACAATCACAACCAAAAGTATCAACACAACCTAACCTAACGTTGAGCCATGCTGAATGGGGAGCTGAAAGTAATATATTAATCAACTTATATAGATCTCTTGTTAGGTCCAAATTAGACTATGGATCCATCTGCTATAACTAACGCAAACCCCAATATTCTTAAAACAATTGATATAACTCACAACAGTGGTCTAAGAATGCAACCGGAGCATTTCGAAGCAGCACCATTCCAAGTATTTTATCTATCGCTGGAGAATCTCCGCTCCACATTCGTAGAACCAAATTAGMTCTAAATTATATTTCTCGCATCCTATCCTCCCCAGAAAACTCAACATTACCATTTTTAACTCAAAATCGTTTTGCAAATACATTCTGCTCCAATCCCAATCTAAAAAAAACCACTGGGTTTAAGGATGTTGTATGAAATGTCGCACACCAATATTGATCCAAATTTAATTATCAAACGAGAATGCAGTGTAGTGCCTCCTTGGAGGGTTCCAACATTTCTCGTGAACACCAGTCTAGCGGATCATAGTAAAAAAGAAACGTTAAATATTATATATAAAAATTTATTCAATGAAATCATGGACTCTTCTCCATCTAGCCTACAAATCTATACAGATGCCTCCAAAACAAACTCAGGTATTGCGATAGCTATCATAAACGGTAAACAATCCATATCGTACAAATTACSAGACCTTAACAGTATTTATACGGCGGAATACTTTGCACTCAGCGCTCTTAACAATTTGAAATATAATTTACACTCAAGCATCCTAGCAATCAAAATAAGCAACATCATTGAAAAAGCCAACAAGAACATAATATGGTTTATATGGACACAAGGCCATTGTGGAATAGATGGCAATGAGAAAGCTGACAAAGTAGCTCGTGAAGCAGTAAACAACCCTCTGACCGAAATACGCACATACTCATCACTCATCGACATCCACAGAAATGTCAACACTTTTTGTACCAATTTATGGGAATCTGAATGGCGGCACACACCCAATAACAAATTAAGAGAAATAAAAAATACTACTGAATACTGGCCTAAACCCCATTCATCAAACCGTAAAGATGAAGTTGTTATCAGTAGACTACGTATAGGTCACTCAAAGATGGACATCTTAAGCGCAGAGAAGAACCTGTAATGTGTCTAACCTGCGGAGAACCTCTCACAGTCAAGCATCTACTTATCCACTGCCGTATCCATATAGATACTGGAAAAAATCTAAAATTACTTGACAACCTCTTTGAAGCCCTCAGCCCTACGAGCCCATGACAACACCAACAAAATAATTACATTTTAAAAACAAATTGATATGACGTTTAATCTATTTTAAGAACCTATTGTTTAACCATATTTTACTATGTGCTAAATACTAATTTTGTTACAAGCTAATAACCTTAGCAGTTGAAGCTGTACCATGAATAATAAAAAAATAATAATAATATATTAATATAGAGAGATTTGCAAAAATTGTTTTAACCCCCTCATAAAAAGAGTTTAAGTTATGCCTATGACCTTTGTGGCACTCACTACAATAGCTAAAAAAAAAATTCAAACGACTTATTACACTTGGTTAAATTTACTAGGCTTATTCAACATAATTATTAATTATCACTTATTTACAGTACCTAGAGGTTTGCGACAATGTAACATTAATGGACAACAATAAGTACATGACAAATAATTTAAAGAAATAATTAATTAAAATTTTTAATTAAGACTGTAGATTTATTAATGTCCTGCCAAAATTTGTAAACAACTTCTATATGATATGAAAGTTAACAGGTTGTTTAAAAAAAAAGAAACAGTGTTAACGTTTAATTAAAAGTTCATGAATAATCTTCTATGACACAGAATACAGAAATAGATCAATACAAGTTAAACACAAGATTTGTGATTTTGACAAATTGGATTGTTATTTACTACATTTATAATGTGGAAAATTAAATAAGTCTGAATAATTGTCAAACACTTTTTATTTATTAAAAGAGTATAATTTTTATTTATATTTTTTGTATTAAGAATCGTTTATACCTCCTTTTAAGCAAAACTTGTAATGGGAGCAGAAATTTCAAAATTGAAAATACATAACCTAAATTATTCATATTATAACAAAATGGTTGAGAATATAGTTCTAAGATCACAAGTTGTTTACCTGATAAAAAAAAAATATCAATGACAACCAATAATGAAGTATAGTTGAGGTTAATGTATTCCAATTTTTAAATTGAAGAAGTTTACATGTATACACTAAGACAGCAGGTACCAATATATTATGAGGTCTTAGTAATAGTGTCAGACGTAGCATTAACAACACTATTATTGAACAAACAGCACTGTTAAACTTGTCATTTCCATTAGTTTGTTTGAAAACAAGAAAAATATAACATCCAATTAATAAATACCATGCTAAAGTCCACGAATGCAAACAAAATAATAACTTTCTAAACAAAATAATGAATTATATTAATGTTACTAATAGTATTTATTGTKTTAATACTATAATTATACTTACAATATGTTATATCCATATGGTACAGAAACTTCTTTAGTTTCCACCCTATACATATAAACACTGCACAAAGTCCAAAAGTATAAAATTAAAATAGTTGTACTTAATATATGAGATCGTTTATTGTTTTTAGTGATTTGGTGAATGTTGATACAAGCATAGAATATACTGCAAAGACCTGACATTTTTTTTTAAAGATAATTTTAAATGACTATTTTTTAATTTGATATAGTAAAAATAATAAAAAAAATAGTCCGTACAACTTACCAATAACCATTAGAACTGTCAAATAAATTTGATTTTGGGACTCACGAAACCAATCTCCTACACTATAAACACCTGATGATTGATTACCGATCATATTCAGATTTTTACAAAATCGATGCAAAATCATAGATACTATCCACTTAGCAGTTTTTGTATAATTATGCACATTAAAAGTTGTATATACTTGAAGAGCAGAAAATCCAGCCCAAAGGTGATACAACAATTGATGCTCTTCTTCGATATAACTCGATGAAAATAGGCTTAATACATGTATTAATATACCCAGCAAAACATAAAATAAGTTATTATTATTGAAATCACTAATCTGAAAATAGTAATAATTTTTTAATAAGATGTTATAAAATAAAAATAATTAATAATATGCAGTAACTACCTCTAATCTAAATAATTTAGAAATTGGCCAACCAAAACTACCAAGGTTTATAATAAACATTGTGATTATAATACCGGCCAACAGATTAAATGTGGCAGTGAATTCACAAAGCACACTGTCACATTGTAGCCATACACAAACAGCCCAACGAATTAGCATTAAGTAAACCAAACGACTCACTTTAATAAACTGGATATTTACAGAATTAAAGTCTATGAGCAACAACCACACCTTAAATTAATAAATATTTATCATCAACAAAATACAATTTAAAATAATTTAAACAAGAACAAATAAGACTAGTGAACTTAAGTAAACAAATATTTTACCTGTATAGATAACACAATCGAGACAACTATGAGGAATATGTCAAATTTAGCTATTGATCCTATTATAAAATCACTCATACCACTCAGTGCAGATTTATACAATGAAATAATACGGTATGCCTCATTAATGGATGCAGTGTCTCTTTTCAACCAATCATAATAATATATCATGGCATGATCATAATCCTTCATAAATGCTAAAAGAAAAAAATTACATGTACATAATATTTATATGTGTTAAATATTTGTACAGGACAATTTATTCTAGAAAAATCACTCTTTCAAATACATAAAATAGAACAAAATATTATAAAATATGTAACAAAAGTTAAAATCTGCTTATTAATAGGGCTAGGATTTATATACAATTACACAATAGTAAAATATGCACATAATTTCTTACAAAATGTAATAAATATACAATAAAACTTACATTGAATTTACCAATTATTTTTAAACTGTCATTATGTAAAAAAGAAGCAACTTAAATATTTTTTAAATGCAAAAAGTTAATGTTTATCTAACTTTATCATTTTTATCAATCTCACTTAGAAATAAACTCATATTTTTTTCTAACTTGCATTTTTAATCCATTGTTCATCTAAGATAAAATTATTGATTTTATAACATTGAAATTTGGAGCATAATAATATGACATGACATTTAGCCTTTTACACTTACCTTATTTAAATGCATCATATAACARAAGTTTTTCATGTTTATAATTGAAATGTGAAAAAATGAGCAAAATAAAAATTGATAATTTGTATCATATTAAGGTGATTTGTAAATACTGCAAAAAAAGGTACCAATGCATGTAAATCTTAGCCCTACTTTTAAAGTTTTCTATTAGTTAGTTTACACAATGGCGTTAAAAATGGTTTTAAATCCACTAATACTTTTATTCAAAATAAAATAACAAAAACTATTAGTAAGAAAGCAAGTATCCTTTAATTTAAACTATTATAGCGCCATCACATGAACATACCATATAATAGGAAGTCTAACTCAAAATACCTTTATTCATTAAACCTTTTTTAGAAATATAATTTTTATACATTTGCTGAGAGTTATAATGATATGCAAAGAGAATTTCATTGATATTAAGATTTTGCAAAATTTTATTTATAAGCTTCCCCGTACTGCTTAAAGGTATTGGCAGTCCCATAATAACAGAAATTGATGGCACAAAGTCTGTTTGCATTATTTCTTCACTAGTTTAAAAAAATAATAATAATAATAATAATAATAGATGACAATTAAATATTACCAAAAAAAAATCATTATAGAACATACTTTATCGATCCACCACATTTCATGTTTTTAAAATAAACAAATAAAGGAACCATTACTTCACCAGTCGAGGATCCACCATGGCCACCATTATCACGCATTCCATGATCACCACAAACAATTAAAACTGATGGCAATTCAGATTTTTCAAAATCCTAATAAATTTTCAGAAATAGTAAGAACATGAACCAACAACAAATTATACTCTTTCAGTAATCAGAATAAAAATCCTCAAAAATATTTCAATAAATAATAATAAATATTAAAATTATAATATTTTGATGACAATGAGAGAACTTCAAATGTTATTGACTATATCATTGATTAATATTTTGATTATATTTTAACCATTCAAAATATTGAAATTGATACATGCTTTTTGAGTGATGATTAGTTTAAGTGATAGATAATTTTATTTTATTTTTAATTTATATATATAAATAATTAATTAATTATCAGGTAACTCTTAAAAATACATAATAATGATTAGTGGCCTAATGACCGCAGTCTTTGAGAAGCGATTGCTTCTCGATTTTATTGAGGTTTGGGAGTAAATGTTTATTTAAAAATAATATTTATAGCCGGTAAGTTGGTGGGTAGGTGTGTAAATTGTAAGTTTGCTTATGGGTTGTTTTAGATTCGTTTTGCCACTGATAATGATTATATTATATTATATTATAATTCCAAGTATTTGATTTTTAACTTTTAATAATTGTTGAACTTGTAATATTTAATTATAATATATTTAAATCACAAATATCTACCAACATATTTATAACTAAATATTATTAATGTTGTATTATTTTAAGTGTTTTTAAAATATTTTTCAGTCACTTTCATTGTTGACAATAGAATATTCCAAGGATTTTTATTTTTATTCATTCTTTCATCTATATAAAACATTAAATTTTAATTACAAAAGAAAATTACTAAAGAACAGTATTCACCATATAATTAACAATACGCTGAATAATATTATCCATCTCAGACAATTTTTTTGGCATCAATTTACTTCGAGGTCCACCTGTATGGCCAATATGATCAAGACCTAAATAATGAAGTATCATAATGTCCCAATTGGCTGTTGGTTTTAATTCATTTTCTAGATGACGAGTGACATTGTTATCAACCTAAATAAAAAATATCACTTACTATTAATATTAATCTAAAATATGTACTATAGAAAATTAAATTACTTCAGTGTAATCAGATATGTAAAAGGAAGTAGTTCCATCATATCTGACAAATGAATTTGGAAATAGTTTCAACCATGTTTCATCCCCAAAAAATATAACTCGTTTATTAGCTGTACGGGCTTGGTAAATAATATTGTCTTGTTGCACAGCTGAACTATCCAGATTTAACACGAGATCAATAAAATTTGGCACTGTACCTGTTGTTAAGGCCTGATAATGAAACATGTACAGGTTTATTTTTCAATTTTTTCATCAACCATAACATCACTCTATACTTTTATCCGTGGCATTGTAACTGTAGGAGCGTTCACTCTGGTACGAAATAAACAACTTCGATTTTGTTTAATGAGATCAGTAGAAAATGGCATATTTACATTATATTCAGATTCCGTGAAAAAATCATAAYGAATCCCATCTATTACCATCAACACAACTTTGTTCACAGACTTGTGATACAAACGGCGAGTGTCGAAACTAAAAAAAAGTTTCCAAATTATAAAAATAATCAATTGAATTTAAAATATTCATATTTTATTTACTGAACAAAAATGAAAAGTTATGATGGGAAATATCCAAACACCCTCTTAAATAAAACACTATAACATAGGTCATGATCACTTTAGTAATTAAAAGTCTTCGTTAAAATTATCTATTGCATTTAATTCTCAAAAATGTACCCTACAAAAATTTAAGTATCTGTGGATATCTGGGTACTCTGCAGTTTTAAACACTGTAAAATTTGCTGAGGTACTACGAATAATAGATGGTTATTATAATTTAAAACATTAAGTTCAGAAGAAGCCTGATGAACCGACCAAATCTAGTGAACATCTTAGAAATGAGCTCGATAGTCGACAGTAGGGCAGTAGTAGACAAGGTAGAAATAAATTTCCAAGAAGATATTTAAAAAAACATTCKAGGTATTTAATTTTAAGGTCTACGCAATTTGAAAAAACATTTCTGGGCTGAGAGGTGGTTGAACTGTTAAAACCTCCCTCGAAGTATGTAGGTAATTGTATTATTGTAATTACCGCCAAGGTTCCGAGTCGTTTTTGTTCGGCCATATGGTCGACGGGATATCATTTGGTGTTGACGTGCGACTGTCGTTGTAGCCAAACGAAAAGAACCCGTAGAGGAATAGCAAATTGGCGAAAATCGTGCAAGACGACAGGTAAAGCAGAGTGACCGACTGTTTGGACAGCCGCATAGCAAGACCGACCGGAGCTTTACAGTCGTGACAGTTTTTTTCATCAATCTCACGAGGCTTGTGGCGGTGGCGATTCGGGACACCTAGTCACAGAGTACGAACGCTGATTGTCGCAACAGTTTTACCTACAATTAGAAGAGTGCAATGATCACTGCTCATCCGGAATTTCCGTTCGCCTTTCACTACCACACCATAGTTATTTTTATTCTATGCACCCACAGCAGTACGACGGTACATCACAAGCTGCAAGTTTCACAACGACTAYGGTTTAAAATTCAAATTAAGATTGCAGRGCCGCAAAGTATAGTCGTGTGTTATCTACATAACCTGAAAACCACACTGGCCACAACAGTGAACAGATAATGTGGATATTGGAKAGTAATAAAAATATGTATTATCTTTACACACAGATTTCTTTACTGAATATATAAGTTGTAAACTAGTTAGTAGTTTTTCCCGGGCATTTATTTAGTTGAGCCGGGTTCTGCCATTTTTTCCGTCTGCAAAATATAGTATGCTTTAATGCTATATCGTATTTTATTATTTCTATAGTTAGTAATTTAGTATATAAGCTACAACAACTTACTTACTGTATGACCTACGATATAAGCACAGATAAAGATAATAAACTAGACTGCTAACTAGTGATAACAGTCGACGCCAAAAAAGGTCATGGTGGTTGTGGCATATACATATATTATATGTCTATAGTCTATAGTGATTACTGACTATAAAAAAAATAGACATTTTTAGACGACGCGGTTCATAGATAACATATCGGACTCCCGCCCAGTCCCGCGTCCCGCTTAAAAGTGACACAAGCACAACTGAAAAAATGTGGTTTTTCATCTAATTACAGCGTAGGCTTAGTAAATATTATCTTGCGGAGMCAACTAATTACTGACGATGACAATTGATAAAGAGTAAAGACATTAAGACAAACCATTAACATTGCGTATTTTCTACTTTCGTGACTAGCGTCTAGCGCTTAATACGCGTAACGTTTATACCATTTATACTGGTGMCGAATGACCGCTACTCTGCTGAGATATTATTACGATTTTAATTAWTCTTTAATCTCTTTATATTCGCTGCAACGAGAAGTTGTTTTGAGATTTGGTGTTGGCCGTTTCGACTTTATTATTATTTCTTTTTTACTATTATAGTATTATAATACTACCTAGTAGGTATACTATTAAATTAATTATTATTCATATACGCTTTTAGCGCGTGTGTTGTAAACCACGATGCCTGCAGATTATTAACAAAAACATTAAAAAATATATGTTTAAAAAATAAATAAGAAAGTTGTTTTTTGTGTCTATGGTTGATATCTCATCAAAAACACT